CTTCTTGTACAACGGACATTCCGCGACTACATGAACACGGTCTTCGCATTCGAAGCCGCAATCACATTTGAACTCGTCGTCTTCGTCGTCTACCTTCCTATGTCTTCGTCGACGTTCTCGGAGGCCCATGTCCCCGGTCCTGAATTTGACCTTAAGCTTTTTTCCTGCATCCATTGGTCCATGTAGGTAATCCTTGAACCCTATTCCTTCCTTCAACATTCCGTACACTTCTAGACCCTCCTTATCCTTGGATTCTTTCCTCAGATTCTGTTCTTCTCTCTCGGCACAAGCAACAGATATCTTCTCCTTGAACCCCTGTAGACCCTCCGTTTCCAGCGTTTCATCTTCGTCGATGTCGAGCCCCTTCCATACGTCCTCTACAACCTTGACCCATTCCGTGGGTTGTCTACCCCTCTTTTTGTTTGCCCACTTCGCCNATGGAAAACACCGGGGTGGGGGTCAACCAAAATCAGCGCTACTGCTGCTACTACTGCTGCTGCCGCTTGAAGAGGGAGGGATGGATAGATGGTCACTTGCCGCCGATTTGAGGTAGAGAGCTAGCGCTGCCGGTCACAGACAAAACGACACGCAACAGGCAGCGAGGTGGGAATACGGCAAGTCGTCTGGGTGGCACGGCTTGTGAAGGGCGGGCGCATCTCCACACCTCTCAGCTCCAGGAAAATAGAGGGGTACCTCCTCTGTTGTCGTGTTTCGTACCCATGCGCAGCAGCAGCCACAGCAGCAGCAGTAGCCGCAGCAGGTCCTACCGTGTCGCGAGAGTCATCTCACTACAACTATAATAGGAAGAGACACACCGCAGTTTAGTAAGCCGGGAGACCAGCTTAGCACGCCCCACCGTTACATCTACACGAAAGCAAAACACGTTTGACTGGTCGGAAACCGGTTGCTGATCGCCATGGAAATACAGGCAAGGTCACTCGAACTCCTGGGAGAATCAACGAGAAACAGACACATGCAGAGACTAGACCAAACTGCGGCGTTTGCTTTCGCGACATGAGGAAGAGAGTCCACCGCAGAAGAGGCGAATGTGTCTCTGGCCCGCCCCCCCTCGAGGGCAAGCGCTGGTCGCCGGTTCAACAGCGGTATTGACGGAGCCATCTGATGGCCGCCCTTGGTGCAAACACCATGCAGACGAGTCTGTTTGGAGGGCGGTCATGAGAGAAGGCAATGGAGGCGACACACCGTCATAAAACAATACAACACGCTAAGCGCCGGTGGCCTTTGAACAATACTCATTCACGGAGTCACGTGATGGTCACCCGTGGCGCAAACATCATGCAGACTGTGATAGTCCGCTTCGAGGGTGTTTCATGAGAGAAGGCGATGGAGGAGGTACGTCATTCCTAGGATAAGTAAAAAAACGACAGGTTTGTTCTCTGCGGCCACCAATTTTTCTATCTTTGGTTACCTTGTCAGCGATCTGATGATCAGACGACGGAGCCAGCCTAAATTCCTGCCTGCCCCGATACTGTTGGAGAGGCCACCGACTGAGAGAAGAAAGGATCCACGGATGTTACACTATGCAGTTAGCGCCCGCGATTACGATACACACCCTTAAGAAACCAACGCAGGCTCAAGACTTTGGCGGAAAGCATGGAAAATTATCGGCTATTACATACGAAACACACGCCAGCCGTGGATTTTCGAACACTAAACTCTATATATATCGACCTGTGCTCGACTGTGGCGACGAAAAAAAAAATTTGCCTCGACCCCAAACTGGTGTTTTTTTAATGTGGGCGCTAATGTAGGCATGGCACGTGCCCTGCGCGTTTCCCAGAAGACGCGGGAAGGATCTGGAACAGCTACTTAGCTAATCAGGGCCTATCTGCTACTGGGGCGGGGGGGAGGTGGCCGGATCACTGGGAACACGTGGGCGAGTCGGGTGCGTCATACCGACTCAAGCGCCGTTCGCAAGAAAAGACCAAACGCGGGCAGCGGATGTTAGAAAGGCTTACCCCATTAGACCACACAGTCATGAAAGGTGAACTACGCGGGGTGCGGCAAGCACGTTCTGGACGTTACTTTGGGGCACTGGGTAGTCGGCCGTGTTAGGCCGAGAGAGAGAGGGTGAGAGAGAGTTGGAGAGAGAGGGGGAAGAAGTGCGCAGCACGCACGCAAGCCTCATCATCGCACCGACCACGCCGAAAGGGTTCCCGTGACTGCGCCCGTGGTACCCTTCGACACACGAAATTCCCAACACGTAT